CGCTGTTCGTACGCTGGTGGGCGCGGATTGAATGTGTGCGGCGGGCCGCGCACGCGCGGCAGGCGAGGAGGGGGGACGGGGGACGGGGTTCGGGTTCGCGTCGCGGAGCTCTCGCGCGGCGTGCGTGCGGGACGGGTTGGAAGCGCGGCGCGGGAGAGGCGGGAAGGGCGCAACGTGTGGCGGGAGCGGTGGGGGCGAGGGACGGGGCGGCGTGCCATCTATTGTTGGCACGTCGGCAGCCGTGCCCGTCTGTCGCTGCCGTCGGGCGTCCTCCTTCCGGTGTCAACGTAGCGCGGCTCTCCCGTTTCCGTCCCCGCGTCACGTGGCACCAACTGCCGTCACACCCAGTGCCCGGACGCCCCGCACGACGCGTGGGCAGTGGCAGACGCCGCCCCGAGTGACTCGAGTACTGTGGGAAAGAGGTTTCCGTGGCGGCACGCCGCGTGGGACCCGTGCTTTAGATGTGCCTATGACCATGAGCACGGAAGCTCACCCGAGCATTTGATGGGCTACGTCCTCAACTATACCTGCACCACGTTTAAGAATGACATGGAGAATTAGTCGGAGGCTGGCTTTAAGGGCTTTGTCTGGCCGCAGGGCGACTTTATGGTCTATTATTGCTTGCATGCGCAGGCGAGCTCGCAAAGGAGGATCAACGAGAGGTTTCATACCAATGTTGTTGTAATTACTGATGCGAAAACTGTGATGCAGGGAATGATGACCACTGAGCAAAAGGGGAGGTGCCGTTGGCCAACGACATGAGAGAGCAATGACTGGGAGTCATATAAAGGAGGTCATGAAAGAGTTTTCGACACACACACACACACTCTCTCTCTCTCTCTCTCTCTCTCTCTCTCTCTCTCTCTCTCTGTCTGTCTGGATGACGATGACGAAGCACAAGAAAACGCTACGGTCGCCTCGCCCGCCCCACCCGCTACTGCCGACAGCGGCCGCGCCATGCGCATTCCTCCCCGGAGGCAACTCGCCCACTACCAGCGTCGACAATTCGACCGCTACACCGCCCGCGCCCCACGCGCTTGCAGCACCGCCCGCGCCGAACGTGCGCGGATGCGGGACCGGACACGTGAACGACAGCCCCGGAACTGCGAGCGAAACCACCTCGCGCGCGGCAACACCCTCGCCACCCACCCTCAATGAAGGCGCTCATCTCGCCCCAGCGCAAGTTCTCCCACCTCCCATCCCATCGCCCACGCTCCCGCGCGCTTGGGTGACTGTAGCTGCTACGAAACCCCGTACCCGTCCCCGTCCCACCTCCGCCCTCACCTCTGCCCATCCTGAGCGCGCGCGCGCCACAGCGTCGACCAAGCTCGCTGACATCCGACCAAATTCCACTCCGTCCCCGTTCGTCGCGCCTGGCCCCCTCCATTTGCCACGTGTCCCACCAGGATCTCCTGTCCTCACCCTCGCTGGCGCCCGTGCCGCACTTGCTGCCCCTTCGTCGGTCTCGAGTGCTACACTCGATGAGGCCCGCTGCCTTGTCCGCACTGTGGGCCACCCCATTCGCCTTGACCCTCGCAATGGAGAGCCGGTAGCGCCGCCCCCACGCGTCACGGCGCACGGCATCGCCCCCGATCACTCCGCCGCATTCCCGTCGTTTGAGGCGGCGCAGAATGCGCTGCGACGCGGCGCACAACGCGCTGGCGTCATGCTACCTCCTCATGTCATCGTGCCAGGCGTAGCACGCTGGACGTATGTTTATTTCCTCAATGAAGCCACACCCACCATCGCCCGTATCCTTGCTCATCTTAAATTGGTTTATGAAGACCTTGCCCTCAATCATGCTCCTCTCCCAGCTGAGGCCTGCGCAATAGATTCCTTTGCTGCTGCTGGCCTCGCCTGTCGCCTCACCCGCGAGGCACAGCGTCTCGTCAACCGCCGTACTCATTCCGTGGTTCCCATGCCTGTCCGTATTGCGTTTGCCATGACACTCCGGGCTCACGCCCAGGCCGTCACGCAACGCCTTCCAAGCACACGCTCTGATGTCCTCCCTTTTGCTCGGACTGTCAACACGGCCCCTGCCTCAGTTACCCTAGCTCCTGCTCCCGCTCGCTCTGCGCCTTCTCAGACCCGTCCAGCGTTCGTCCCTCCCCCGCATGTACCCTCGGGCATGACCTTGCCGACATCTCCTGCCATCTGTCCCACATCACCTCCTCTTCCCTCCCCGCATGTCTCCTCTGATAGCCCTATGCTCCCCCCGTCCCCACATGGCGCATGCCCACCCTCTGCCGCCCCCCTGCCTCTTCCTAGCCAAGCAAGCCCCTCTGCT